CTGGTTAGTTCAACCTCTCTTTTGCAGCAATGTCTGCAGTCATTTTTGCAGGGTCTTCGGCTCAGTCCATCAGCATTTACACAAGATTTTCCTTCTCTGTATTCAATATCATAATGTTACGTCTCTGTATGTTTGTTGGTTAATTCTTCTAAGATACAAGTCTATTCTTTATAAAAATTGTTTATTCTTCCTCAATACAACTTTGTAATGTACTTAATTTTCACAGTTACACACATTATAGTTCACAACAATTCATTCACTTTCTATCACGCTTAGACTTAATTGTCCGCCCCCGCAAACTATAGTTCCGATCTCTGTGTCTGCTATCCTCAGTTACCGCCGACCATAATCGCTGTCTTTCTTTCTCTCTCTGGCTGCTTCGTCTCTGCCTCTGTCTCTGTCTCCACTACTGCTTCGACCCCGTCTGTCTCTCTCACTGTCTAGCGCACTTATATACAATAATACTGCCTGTTCTAGAAACTTCTAAGACTCTCAACACGTGCTACCAGCGTCAATTGACTTCCGCTGTCGCAACACACTAGCGAATCTTCTAGAATATTCGTCACGTGACCCCGCTGTCGTAACACACTAGCGAATCTTCTAGAATACTCGTCACGTGACCCCCACTGTCGTAACAATACTTAGAATTAGCATATAAAATTATCCTTGAAATTTGTGGCAAAATATATGAAAGAATATAGTAAATTCTGTATTCAGATACAATTATTTAGGTGTAAGTTATTTTGATCATCGTAAACTGTTGTACATAAGAATGTATCATACATGCAAAAGAGTACTAAACCTGTAATAACATGAAATAATACAATTTATAGCATTCCATGGCTTTGTCCCTACAAATTTCCACAAGACTATTGTACTGAAACTACTGAATTTCTTTTCATGATGAAAATACACATATTACTTTGTGATGTATTCAAACAACAAATATGTATATAAATGTAACTTTATCATCCTAAAAACATCAACAGTAAAATATTTAAAAATGACTAGTTGCAGCAATAGGTTAGTTGTGTAAGTTAGTTGAATACTTTTTTCAATGTTGAAAATAAAATTACTTTTCAAAATAAATATATAAATTAATACACAAGATTTAATGAACAATACTAATGTTCATAACAATAAATGAGAAATGTCAAAGCTCACTAGATGGAGTACTTATGTTAAACGTTTTCTAACTTATGATTCATGCATGTTTTAAATTATGTTAAACATTTATATAGATTCATACTTTGAGAAACTGTTACTCAAAACAGGGGCAATACAGGGTCTTGTAAAAGGAGATGTCAAACTATACCTCTACTAGCACTAGTGATAAATTTATATTACTTTTTTACACACAACTGAACACAACATAACCTGAATAATAAAATCAAATAGAAAACCTCCAAAGTCAATATGAGTAGCGCAGTTAGGCTATAACCCAATTATTTCAAAGTTTATATCTTTATTTCTAGTAATTTGATTGATATGAAAATAAAACAGTTAAAGACAAAAATTTCAAAGTTTGTAATTTATATTAAATAGTTGCAATTATACTTAGAAAAAAGAAAATGTGAAGTCTACACCTAAATTCCCATTTGTAAACAAGATCATTGTTTTCTCTTTTTTAAGTCATCAATTATATGTCATAGCACTTGCATTTTTGCTTATTTTGGATATCAATACAAAAACATATTTTTTGTGAGTATTATAACTTTTTTAACAAATGTATGGTATAAGAGCTGCAAGTGTCTTGAGGAATACTAACTTTAATGAAAACTCATTTTAAAAGTCTAGAACACGGGCATTGTTAGTGTTTGGAAAAAAGCTCTAGTGCAAAAACATACCATGGAAATGTTTAATTGACATTCATGTCATTGTATTAATTTAAAAATAATCAGTTATTGGCTGAGGTTCTCACTGGAATATAGGTTTTTATTTAGGGTAAAGATTATTATTGTTGTGATTTTCAAAGGCTCAAATGAGGATTAACCTTATTGTGTTACTTGGGGACATACTCTTTTAGTGATTTTCTTTTATATGCTAACCTAAGTTGCAGGATAAGAATATGCAATAGCAAGAGCATATTTAACAAAGTCTTCATTACCCTTGCTAGTCCCATACCCTGTTTGGTTACACCTACAAACACACAGTCACTTACCTACCACAAACTGTATTACTGTAGTATTGCCTTGAATTATATGATAGTGCATTGTTATTGCTTACTTTCGAAACTGTTTATATTGTCGTTAATATTTGTTCCTGGTGTAAATCTGTGTTGTCTTATTCTTGGTGGCCCAACCACAGATAAGATCCATGAACATTTTTTTTCTTGGCCCAGACTTCTCTGTTTTGCCATAAATCCCTGAGATACCAAAATTTTAATACCCATATGTAATATTTCCATCATAATATCATTTTAATGCATAAATGTTATACTTCATTTTACCGTGAAAGTTATGCAATCTTACTTTGTCATCTTTAGTGTTTAAAGACTTTCCGAAGGATATAAGTAGAACTATATTATGAAAGAATCACATGGGTTCTGGGTAGTTGAAATTATTATCATAGATTTCTATTTTTATATGTATTTTAAAAGAATCTTACATACTAAATCATATTTGAAGTTGGAAATCCTCCTTATGTTTTTAAAAAAATAGAATACAGCTGTTAATTCAAGTTGGGGGGTTCTTGTTTTGTAAGAGAATTGTGTACTGGTTCCTGTTTTAATTCTTCTCTTATGATAAAATAATTGTTTTTTAAGTTATTGATCTTTATCTTGTGATACAATCTTCTATAATTTTTTAGAATGCTGAACAATCTTGTAAAAGAATTGCATAGACACATTTTTCTAGGAAGTGTTTATGAGAGAGTCATGCTGATTAGTTTAATATCTGTGTATTATAAGACAAATTTATGCTAGGTTCTTTCTGACATTAGTAATCATTGTCTTTTTATAGAAGTAGTTAAAAATATGTTTGAAAATGATTAAAGTCATTGACTTGTAGAAGTCAGTAACTAGGTGCTTATACTTTATTTTATCATATAACTTTCAATGACTTGACTCTGTTAATAAAGCATGTCATTTAAATGACCAGTGAGCTCTTATGAATATTTATGTATATGTATTATAAGAAAAATTAAATATTGATTCTGATTTATTTATTTTTTTAAGACAAAAGCTAAAAGAAGACAAAAATGGGGTATCAATAATTAGTAAGCAAATGAAGAAGGGATCATCTCAAGTGATCATGCAAGGAGAGGCTAATGTCTCTGTGTCAGTCACCATTCAAATCAACTACAGTGCTCATACACCACATCAGTCCATTCTGTTTGCTTCATGTGAGCTGCTGCATCGAATGCCATGTATTGTTCTGTATGATTCTAAGAATGTTGTTGAAGGCCAGTATGCTCTTAGAATGTTTAGTGGTGAGCTGATAATTATATTTATATTGATTTGCTTTAACTTTAGTAGGTTTTTTGTTTTAAATTTGTCAACTTGTTGTTTATATGTATCATTATTTCTCATAGTGATTAGCAGGTGTAGAAATTATCTTTCTAAGCTTTTAGGTCAGAAGCAATTATGTGTGTATTTCAATAATATTTAAGGTGGTATGCTAACTAGACTAATAGACCTTATTTATACCATTATTATTCAATATACTTGTATACCTGAACTATTATATTTAAAGTACTGTACTGGCACAATGTTCAAATTTCTGTTACTATACCTCACCTTTTTTCACATAATAGCTTTTCTTGACTTGTGCTGCCCTCTATGTGTGCAGTTTTTGCTTGCCACTCACTAGCCTTGATGCTCCCACCTACCCTCATGTGATTACACATGGTAGAGCATGTAACTGAGAGTGCGACAATCCTTCACTAATAAGAATTTTGACACACCCTCCTAGCACAGTTGACTCTCTCTAGACTGTAGAGTACTATAATCATTTCACAATTTGGTCTCGTATTTAACAGTGTTTATATTTTTTCACTTGTGAACTTTTCAGATTTAGGCATTTTTCAGACGACATTATTTCCCAAGAGTCAGTAACTTCTATTTTGTCAGGTGTGAACCAACACGACTTTGTTCATGCTAGCCTACCAACTACATAGGCATTGGGTTTGTCTTTATCTTTTGGGAGATGTGAAAGCTTTGGTGCAGTGGGTGGTGGAGTCTTTCATGTGGTCTGAGCCTTCTTTTGTCCCTGACATATCTTCACCTATGTTTCTTGTTCTTGGTGAAAGGGATTTTTGCCAGTTTTGTTTTTTTCTTTCATGACTAGGTTTTTTGGTGTGTTTTTTTACATATTCAATTATTTTACCACCACTTTGAGGCTTATATGCCTTGTTCTCTTTCCTTTGTTACCTCAAATGATTAGGCACAACTTCATGCTTATCTTTCACTTCTAAACTCTGAAGTCTTTTCTTCAGAATTAGGGATCAGATCCTCTGGCTTTTGTTTGTCTTTCTTATGTGTAGGTTTTCATACCTTCATCTTACACACACATACAACCTTTTTCCATTATTTTTTCTTGTTTTTCCTTTATTCCAAGGTAATCCACCATTTTCCCTGTGGGGTTCTTGATAGATGCTCTTTAATTTCTTTTCTACAATGGCATGTCTATCTTCCTTGGCATTTTCACTTCTTATTTGGTTGATCTTTTGCTAGAATTGGTTGGGGTGTGATGCCCTTGTTACTCAATTGCTTTTGTCTCCCTTCTATCTATTAGGCCATCTTCTGGCTCTATTCATCTGCCTGTATGATTTTACTGGTATGCTTGTTTCTCTCATGTCATATTTTGGGGCTGCATGCCAGTGATTTTGCCTGGTCTACCATCTGTTCTATGCTCCTCCTTTGCTTCTCTCTCTGTTTCCTGTCCTTGTGCTTCCTTTTCATCCTTCCACAGCTCGTATACTTCAGTGCTGTTACTCTGTTTGAGGTCAAATGTTGAGTACTGGGATTTCTATCAGAGAGCCTTCACTTTTGTTTTTTCCTCTCCCTTTCCAATGTATCCTATTCTCATTATTTTACAACATCCAAGGAAGATTGTTTCTTGCCAACATTGGTCAATAGCAATGTTGGTCCTAATGCTGCAATCACTATTGGATGGGTTTCTCATTGCTTTCTCAACTTTTGAGTCACACCATCCAGATACTGTTTAGAAAGGCATCATGAGATGCCTACAGTATTGTGCAAATGCCATCAGCGCTGATAACACAATAAGAAAACAAGCAATGGACCAGTTAACAGACATTCCAGAGAAATGGATACCTGAAAGGTTTCATAGAACAGAAACACAGAGGACATAATGAACAACAGGCACAGTCCCAAAAGAAACCAGTAACAACTGTGTCACATCCATACACCAGAGGCCTATCAGAAAAGATACGGAGAACCTGTGGATGATACAACATCAGGACCATCTTCAGAAGCAATACAACACTCCAAAGAACACTCACCAGTCAGACCACTAATGTCTAAGGAGCAAACAAAGAATTGTGTATATGACATTCCATATAGTTGTGGTAGGTCATACAAAGGAGAAACGGGTCATCATCCTTCTGTCAGATTGTAAGAGCATAGAAAGGCAACCATCTGGGGCAAGTTCAACAAGTCTCGCATAGCAGTATGTGCATGGTCTGATGGGGAACACAGACCAGCATGGGACAAAGTCACTATAATTAACAAGGAACCACATTGGAAAATAAGGAAGATCCTTCTCTCCTGTCCCTTCTATACTTTTGTGCCTCCTTCATCCTCCTTGTCTTGCAGTCCTTCCTGATTGGGAGCTGAATACTGTTTTCCATGCCCTTACCCCTTCATCTCTTTGACCAATTAGTCTCTTGTTGCTTATACCATTTTTTGCTTAGGTCCTACTTGCTTTTTGCCCGTGGTCATTGGAGATATGATGTGTGTACCATTGCTACTTCCCATGTTTTTTTTTCCTTCTAGTTCTCCATGTTATTCTCATTATGTTCCGATTTTTATTTTTTTGGTTCCACCCACATGGTTTGTTATTCTTTGGTCCACTCTGCTCCTTTTCATGGTTCACTCCTCCTTCTGCTTATTCTTTGGAATTTTTCATCATCCTGAGATGTTTCTATTACTCTCAAGGGATGGTTACAGCACTTCATTCATTTTGCCTATGCTTCATTGGGTGTAGATTCACATCGACTGTTACAAGTCTCTTCTCACCCAATCTGACACCTTACTCTCTCACTGACTTGTTATTTCTGTCACCTGTTGGAGGGGTTTGTGAAAACTGTATGTGTACTACCCCGCTTTCTTTCATGGAACATTTATCTTCATCTTCTGGCTGTCTTGTTTTCTTCTGGATATCAACTTCCTCCTGTTGCCGTTCTACATACCCTTTAATAACTCTGAATGGGTAAGTTCTTTTTAAATGTATCCTACCTTTACAATGGATTATTTCTATGTCTCTGTATCCTGCTCTGTGGTAAATGGTGCATGTCCAGGTATACTTAACTTTAAATACACATAATACAACCTTACAGTTGTATAATGCTCACTGAAGAGATGGGGTGTTCCAAAAGACTGCCAGAGGTTGCCTCTCAGTATCTTGCTTCTTAAATAAGGCCCACACCAGACCGTACCAACTCATGAACTATAATGAGTAAAGTGGTGTCAGGACCAGCCTGCTTTTCATAATAGGACTTACATGGTCCTCCATTGCACTGTCTTAACAGTGTTGCATTCCTCCAGACTCTTCACCTTGTTGTCCCCTTCCAGTGTAGTATAGGAATACTTGCCTGTTTCCAGTTCCTAGCTGTTGGAGTGGTGGACATGGAGGCTTCCTCCTGAGTGTGACCAATTCCACTGAGTCGAGAGTAGAGTGGTTGTGTTCTGTTGGTGTAGATGGTGAGTACTCTCCTTCTACTGTGAACTGGAAGACAAATACCTGATGCCACCTGGTTTTGGACTTTATAAATCCACCATATGCAGTTCACTCCTCTGGCTGGTTTTCCCCCATCCTACTGCTGCCTCAATGTTAGTTCCCAGGTTGTCTGATGTTGGTTTTCCATAGGACCAGCCAACATAAGTCCTAACACATGTAATTGGTAGGGATCCTCCTCCTAACTTGTAATGGATGAAAAATTCCCAACAGTGCCTGGTTTTGAACCGGAGTTGACCCACCACATTTGCTTTCCTCTTCCTACCATTACCCAGACGTTGGGTTCCAAGGTGGCCTGGTGTTGGCTGTTTACTAGATCTGTACACGTATTCTGGCTGGGTTGTTGGAACAGAAGTTGTTTTGCCCTTCTGCCACCTACTGTTGAAGTGAAGATGTTTGGAACCTTCCTTCAACTACCACAGACCAGAAGACAGATACCCAATGCTGCCTGTTTTTGGACTGTGGTTGACCCACCAAGTGTGGTCTGACATGCCCTAGCCACTCTACACCATCTAGTGCATCCAATTACAAATTTGATGATCATCTTTTCCACCTGATTTAGTGACACATATCTTTCCAACAGTTGAAGAGTTTATCTGGTACAGATGGGGGTGCAGTCTCCCATGAGTTTGACCCATACATTAGGGTATCACACTCCATAGATTCTCTTCAGACTCCTTCTAAATAGTGCTCATCTGTGGGACAATAGCTATTATGTGAACATAAAATATATTTCCAATAGAAAATAACCTCTTCCCACATTTCTCACCCATTCTCCCACTTCACCTAATCTTAATTATAGTACTCCATGACGTACAGGGAGTTAGCTCTGCTAGGAGGGTGTGGTCACACTCCTATTAGTGGAGGGTTGTTGCATGCTCACTTGTTTGCTACAGTGTAGTTATACCACATGTAATCACATGAGGGTAGGTGGGAGCATCAAGGCTAGTGTTGAGCAGAAATTGTACATATAAAGAACAGCACAAGTCAAGAAAAGCTATTAAGTGAGTGGAGGTAAGTATCTATCTGAAATACATTTTCAGTGTAAGAAAATGTTAACTTTAAAGTTCTAGGTATAATTTGTTTCCAAAGGTAGCTGTGCAGTTATTTAAATATATGTAGAATGGTTATGTAAGTTTGAATCACTGTGAATCTCAAACAACCATTTTGTGCTCTAAGACAGTATTTCATATTGAATGTGCTGAAGTTGCTCAGAAACTTTGACTAAAATTTAGATTTATTATAAGCCAAGGATAATTTGCTTTTATATTTTCCATTTGTCTACTAAATTGTATAAGCTCTCCTTCAGCAAATTACCTGCAGAATATATTTTCCTGTCCCTGTTCTAAGAGACTATTAAAAACAGAATTTTAGGTGTAATAAGTAATACCAAATATTTTTTTTTTATGTATATAAATGTTTTTTATTAGTTGTTGTACATTTTTAAAAAGTTTTTATTAATTTTCAGGTCAAAGCTATGAGATAAAGGTGACTGCATTGTCTTATTCAGTAGGGCAGTATGTAGTCCCAGTGACATTCCAGTTTGTGATAGAGGAAAGTTCTTTTCAATTCCATATCACTCGATGGATTGTATATAATTGTACAAATGAAATAGTTACTTCCCTTGAGCCTAGTATACCCTTCAAAAATAAACCAAATTCTTCTTGTGCAATACCACCAGCCAAGTATCTAATCAAAGGAATGAAACTACAAAGGTATTAAATTATGTAGTTTTCTTGAACTTAGTTGGAAATTAACAAAACAGAATAATCTTTAATGGAAGTATATATATCATCTTATTAGCAAAATATGAAGATTTGTCTGCATGCTTTTCTTTATTGGAATATTACCAGCCATTGGCAAATAAGTAAAGAATACTTGAAATATAATTGCTTATCTCTACTTACCAGTCATGTAGTGTTAACATGTTAGCTTCATATTTAACCAAGTCTGTATCTATTGTTAACATCTTAGCTTCATAGTTAGCCAAGTCTTTATGTGATGTTAACAACTTAGCTCCATGTGTAGACAGTCTGTATTTAGTCCTAACATCTTAGCTTTATATTTAACCAAGTTTGTATCTGGCTATATATGAAGTTAAAATATTAACACCACATACAAACCTGGCTGAATATGAAGCTAAGATGTTATCACCACATACACACTTGGCTAAATATGGAGATAAGATATTAACACTACATACAGACTTTATTGGTAGAGACTAAGACAAGAAGACTGTATCACCTAAGCTATTTGTAGCAACATTACAGGAAGTTTTTTAAATGATCAAAGCTAGAGGAACATGGCATCAGTATAGATGGAGAAGAACTAACAGATCTCAGGTTTCAGATGATGTGGCTTTATTTACAGAGAATATACAACAAATAAAACATCAGTTCCTCACACTGAATGAAGAAAGTGCAAAGATCAGCCATAAAATACATATATGGAAAACAAAGTATATGACAAACTTAGATAACAATCGTGAAATCACATTAGAAAATGAAATTATTGAGAGAATGAAAAATTACAAATACCTCGTACAAACAATCTACATGAAAAATACAACAAAAGAGGAAATAAGTATGAGAATAAGAGCTGGCTGGAGCTGCTTTGGGAAGTACTGAGAGAGGTCTTTCAAGATGAAAAACTACCAATAACCCTTAAAAGAAGAGTATTTGATCAATGTGTTTTACCAGTCTTGACATATGGATGCCAAACTTGGACACTCACTAAACAGCTTAACTCAAGTTTGCAGACAACAAAAGAGCAATGTAAAGAAAGATGCTAAAGATCAACCTCCAGGATAAAATTCTATGCTCAGAGATCAGAAGAAATACCAGGGTAAGAGACATCTCCAAGTATATTACAGAATCAGAATGGAAACGGGCCAGACACATTGCTCAATTAAAAAAAAAACAGATGGACAAAAGGAATCACAGAGTGACAGCACCATAGAGGGAAGAGATCAAAAGGTAGACCATACAGAAGATGGCATAATGGCATCATAGAGAAAGAGAGTGTCACATGGCCGAGGAAAGCAGCAGGTAGACAGACTTGAACGTCTTTGACAGAGGGCTACACCTTGTAGTGGGCGGACATAGTTTAGAATGAATGAATGAATGTATCTGGTCCTAACATCTTAGCTTCATATTTAGCTAAGTCTGTATGTAGTGTTAACATCTTGGCTTCATATTTAGCCACATTTGTACATTAAGATATTAACCTTAGCTTCATTTGTAGCTATATCTACATCTGATGTTTTTCTTTTAACTCCATATTTTTTTTCCATTCTACTGTTTCTTTTATTTTAGGTTATTCATGGATATATCCCAATTTTGTCTGAATGCATATGAAATGGCTTTTCTAATGAACTTTCATTTGAGATATACTAACGAATCATTTTGTAAGAAATAAATGCTGTAATGTTTAATTTATTGCAGTACAGAGTGAAATAGTGAGGGAGTATTTAAATACTCCTTGATGTAGGAAACAAGATACTGAATTTCTTAGAAAGAAAATGCAGCAGTGCATGACTTGGGATATTTTATTAGTGAGTAACAGTAAAGGACAGACAGATGTAATATATAGTGGTGACTTATTATTGTATAAAGTGACATAATGTTTCTGTTGTAGCAAGTGAGTAATGAGTTTTTTCTACTTAGTGTATTAGTGAGGGACTTTTTTACTAGTTATTCCAAATATTTCTTACAGATTTGTTCAAATCTCACTTTTAAGTTCCACTGGTTGTGTTTGAAATAGGTTGATATTTTAAAGAAAGTATTACATATTTAGCTCAGGTGCTTATGTGATGTTCAATTAGAAAATGTTCTCAAGGTCTTTCAGTTAAGAACAATTCATCTTGAGAAATAAGTTACCGTGTTTTTTTTTTTTTTGAGTGTGTATTACAGTTTCATTTTTTGTTTTATTAGATAAAAGTTTATCCTGCTCAATTTGTTTTTTGTTTGCATGTTTTAATTTAAACCTTACCTTTGCCCATACTTAGGATATCTAGAATTTGCTATAAATTTAGCACTCGTACATAAGCTATGTGTGTGTAACTGAATTACAAAGGCAACCCACTCACTCCAATTCAAATGGCCTGTCCACATTTCTGGATAGGCTGTTGCTGGTCTTGCCAATACTCAGCTATTTAAAGCAATAAAAACTATGTACATAGACCACTCACTCCAATTTAGATGGCCTGTTCATATTTCTGGCTAGTTTACAGCCGGTCAAGTCAGTATTCAGCTATCTGAATGATAATAGCAAACTTCTTGCTGTCAAAGTTCTTTGTTTCTTGGTCAGTTTTTTTTTAGTATTTGCAATTATCTCAGTAAGGATAAGTATAATAAGGTATGAGTAAAGGTACATTATTCTAGAGAGTGAGTTAATAGGGACATGGCGTATTATATGGCTAAATGCTGCTGTTTTAGCAAGTTACTGTATTACATTCTTAAGGGTCATGAATGAAAGACACCATTTCCCTCTGAATGTTGGAATGGTTCTAGAACTAAGATTAGTTGATAGACGTACATCACTTGTGAATATAAATCCAAACCAGTATGTAAAATGCCACTGGAACTTGATTTGTATTGTTAGGGATATGTTACCACTCTTCATAAAAATAGTGATAAATATTTAGAATGAAAAAATACAGAAATTGAAAAAGAAAGTTTTCATGTTCTTAATAAAAGTCAGAAAATCAGCACAGGAAAGGTCTCAAAACCAATCAGGACTAATACCCTTACCCACAAAGTGAATAATATGGTTATGAATGAGAACTCTATCCCAGTTAATAAGAGTTTAAAGTTTAGAAAGGCCTTTAACTAAAAGTTTGTGAGCTTCCAATCACATTTTAGTAATCATCAGTGTTTAATGAATAAGACAGAACCATAGCTGTCAGTGGTGTAGTGCTAAGTCAAGAAGTGAGGGAATGCATTTTGAAAGTGTTACTATGATTAGTATTTATTATGTCACCAATATATAAAAACACATATTTCAGAAATGGTAGCTGTTAATTGTAATTGAAATCAACATTTGAAAATGTAACAATAAATTAATTTTCTCTCACCTTGAACTTTTGAATTCTTGGATAACTTATTAACAGAAATTCCAAGCTTGGTCCATAGTGAGTTCCTTGGACTTTAATACTTTTTTTTTGTGTATCAATTGCTGAATGATGATACCTGAGCCATTTGTATATATAGTTAACAGCCTAGACCTCATTTCTCTAATGATAAGGTTCTTGCTTCTAAAGCCTCATTCATATCTGTAAGAACTGCATGAGATGACTTTTGAACATCCAATTAAAGGATTAAAATCTGATGGAATATGGCAGCCATAGTTGTCTAGAAGTCTCTGTATGCTGTTGTTGTTTTTGAAAATGGAAATTTGAAACATTTACAAAACAAGTTTGTTTGTTTTTTCCTTTTCCTCGAAGCCTGGATTTATTTCTGTTGGCCACTCAATGACTTTTAAAGTATGGAGCTCAGAAATTATGTTTGTATTGGAATTAGAAGTCCCTGGCCATGACCCATTTGGTTCATGAGAAGAAGTTGGCGTGAATAACCATTGTTTCATATTTTTTATGATACTGGTTAAAAATTGACCATGATTGATTGAAACAATCTTGTTGTTATCTGTCAGTGTTATTAATGAAACTTCATTTCCTTAATAGTATTCTCTGCTTCTATCACCTTTTTTACCCGTATGTTCTTTCTTTGCTTCTAAAACTGTATGCTGCAACAAATTAACTTGTCTGCATAAACTATAGTGATATCCCTTTTCTGTAAGGCTTCTAAGGTGATTAGGCTAAGAAGGCTAAGTTAGAAATATTAGCTAAATGGGCCATATTTATATCACTAGAAACTAAGCATTTATTGTTTACTATATAAGTATGGTTAAATAAGAAACAGGATGTTCATAAGCTCTTATACATTTACACCTATACCACTAAATCCCAAACACCTTGGGAGGTAACTAATATTCAAATACCAAACAATTTTATTGGAATGGATCAGACTTTGTATACAGCCATATGGTAAATATTTTCTCTCAGTTTTATATAGTACTTTAGACAATGATTATTACAATTACTGTACTACAAACAAACTTATAAAGCCTACCCAGCTGTGTTTTTGAAACCGGGAAAAGTCTAATGCCAAGAGTGGTGATTTATTGCTTTATTTTCAAAAGGTTTCTACTTCAGCTGCGAACAGTAAAATAAACATAGTAAATAGGTGTAAAAATGATTGGCATTAAAAATTCTCAGGAGATTTACTTTGGAATTTCATGGTCCATACTGAAAAGTCCTGACAGTACTATTCATTTTGTTTCATCAAGTTTCTAAGTCAGTTGCTAACAATATAATAACTACAGAAAATAAGTGTGAAAAAGTGAGAAGTATAAACTTTGACCATAAATTGTGTGGAACTAATAATTAAAAAAAATAAGTGTGATAAGGTGAGAAGTATAAACTCTGACCATAAGTTGTGTGGAACTAATAATTACAGAAAATAAGGTGAGAAGTGTAAACTCTGATCATAAGTTGTTTGGAACTTTGTGATCAATACTAACAGAACTACACATTTTATTTTGCATTTTACAATATTTTCTTTCATTATACTTTGATAACTTACCTACAACCTGAATGGAAGGGTTAATGATTCCTTCTTCTAGGGGTTGGCAAAACTTCATGACTTTTGAGATTTGT